GCGTTGCCCGTCGCCCCACCTTACACTGATCAGGTCAAGATAGTACAGCTTACACAAATGGGGTTCCAAGAAACTGCCGCAAAGCAAGCATTGGCTCAGCATCAAGGAGACTTGCAAGCCGCTTTAAATGCGTTGCTGTCGGGATAACACCATGCGACACGGTGAAGGATGTCGTACACATATTTTAGAGAAATTTGAGATTGAGGAAAAAGGCTCGAGAAAGAATTAGCCAGAAATGTCCATATTAGGTGCTTTGATTCGTTACCAGAGAAATATTCTCTTAACTCCAGATACAAACGTTACCGCTTCTTGTACACGCAGACAAACGCGACGCCTTCCAGGCACAGCTTATGATACCTCCTCCTCCACCCCTTTGACCAGCGCCACTTGTACTCCCGTCCAAAGCCTCACTGCTCGTTCTGATCCTGTCTCCCGAAGCCGAGAGGGACATGCCTTGACATCTCAGCTCATCATGTTCTGGCGAAGAAGAAAAGGAATGCCTCGAGTCCGGCGCGTGAGAAAGGATCGATTTCATTTCGCCTGAAGCTGTTTCCCAGACAAAAAGCTGGCCAGTGGCCGATCCTGCAGCGACGTAGGAACTGGACGGGGAGAAACAAGCCCTGGACCAATTTAAGAAGGTTCGATAGTCCTCGTGGCGCAGCACGTGGAGTGTCTCGAATGTCCTCGTGTCGATGATCTTCAAGGCGTTGTCACGGGAGTTTGCGAGGGCGGTAAAGTTTTGTCCGTACTGTACCGACGTAGCTTGCGTCTCGAAGGCGCGCACGATCATAGTGGGATTGCCAGCACGCAGGTCCCAGAAACGGAGACCGCCATCCTGATGCGCCGACACGGGCGCGTGACCGTCCATTCCGATGTCTAAACCGTTGCAGGTCGAGCCAGAGCGCAGAATTTGCCGACAACTCGCCCGCCCTACGTCCCACAGCCGAATCGTGCGGTCAGCTCCTCCTGTCAGAACCGCCCTCAAGTCCCCAGCGATCAACTTGACCGCGTAAACGTTGCCCGAATGGCCCACGAAAGTGCGGTGCAAGCGCCCGGAGGCGAGACTCCATAGCTTACACGTATGATCGCTGCTCCCCCCAACCACAAAGTCCCCGCGGAAGTCTAAGCCGAGCATCACGTCCTGACCATGCAGCGTTGCTTTCAATCGCCCACTTCCCGCCTCCCACACCCGCACTTTGCCGTCCCCGCCCGCCGTCGCCAGCCACTGGCCCGTATCGCAGTAGACCAGGTCGTTCACGTCGGCAGCGTGCGCTCGGAACTGCTGGTTGCAGTGGGAGGGTAGCTCGTCAGTCCTCAGCCCCGAAGATGGTGCCGCCTCAATTTCTACATCCGCGGCCACTGCTTGAGTGCTCTCAATCTCCAAGTTTCGGGCCTTGAGCTGTGCGCGCATCCGCTCAACGAGCTCCGTCATGCGATTCATTTCCTCCGCGTTGTGAGACTTTTCCCCAACCATCCGCCGCACCAGCTCTTCGTTCTGGCGACGTACATCCAAGTACTCTTTTTCCACAGTGTTCAAGCGTGCCCGGACACGCTTCAACTCCTCCTGGACTATCTCCAGGTCCCGTGTCGCCATACCCGCCTGAGCCTCCAACGTAGCCTCTCGCGCCCGGAACCCGTCGACCTCCGTCCTCAACTTTTCAGCTTCTGCTCGAGAAAGCTGCCACTTTTGGAACAAATCTTGTATTTCCTTACTCATATTGAGCTGTGAAGTTGTCCCTTGCACCTCCAGACGCAACTTGTCGGTAAGCTCTTCTTGCAAGCGTTGGACCTTGCTCTGCAGCTTCCTTGTCTGCTCGTCCTTGGCACCGCACGCACCTGCCCCCCCTTGGCCCTTGCTGTCCCTCTGCTCTAATGCTTCATGTCGCAGTGTGACCAACTCTTTTTCCTGATGATCCACATGGGCCTTGAGGACTTGGTTTTGCCGAGCAAGGTCCGTATCTGACATATAGCGCGTAGTCGGGACGAAGGAAAGAGAAAGGGAAAGAGTTTCATCGACCCGCCCAAAGATGCACGTGCACGTGACTTGCAAGCGTACAAGCGTGTACAGCGTGAGTCCGTGGACAACATGATAAGCAAGTGGCAACAGGAAGTTAGAAATGCAGGCGACAGCTGTGTGGCTTCACCCTGTAAATTACAATGAACCGAACACTTCCCAGCAATTTCATCATCAATGTTTCGAAATGATGATATAACCTATAGACATTCAAGGGTAATGTGACTGATCAGTGCGTAGAACTTACAGCTTAGAATAATCCCACGAAATGGCTCGACCTCCACATCGTTTTGCTGCTTCAAAGCGTTCAAGACGCTGGTCCGCCAGTGCGCCGCCGTGAGCGAGGACGAATTTCGCGTAGATGGCCCCGTCATCAAGAAGGTGGGTCAAAGAATAAATCGTAGGGCCAACAGCTACTAATCATTACGAAGGGTGTCTTAGGGCGATAAGTATCCTTCTCCCTAGCATGGTTTGGGAAGTGAGGCGGGAGGTTGATAGTAGTAGTATGATGCTTGATTAGTAAACAATCTATTTGTGATCTACGTAAAAAGGAACGCGATTGTCATCCCCAAGGTGCATGACAGTAGAAAATTGCTTCGCTATTGGGCTGTGTGCGTCGTATTGCCGCTACTGGTAGCGATCCTCGCCGAGGCGAAATTTTCCTCGGAGAAACGACATCTCCTTTTCCCATCCCACAGAACACTTGTGCCTGTTTCCAAAACATTGGACCTGTGCGTCCGTCAGAAAGAATTATATTTGAGGCCGAAGGTGTCCCTTAAAGTACTCAGAGGCATGTAAGCGGGACGAGACTTGTCACTTTCTCCCCGGCACGTGCCTTGATACGTGCGTGATGTGACATGTCAAACATTGAAGCAAGTTGGGCCTCCTCACGGACTATCGTTTTCACCACACGTGAGCGCCGCAAGTTAGTTTAAGAGCAAGAGTATGATAAACACCTGTTGTTCTTATTTATCTCAAACATTTCTATTCTCAATACGAAAGGTAAAGCAAAAAGCTTGGATTATAAACCAACAGGAACGTGCTACGATCCACTTCAACACTGAGTCCAAGGTCCATCTATCGATTGTTAGTCGGCACATAATTTACTCTTTAACTCATGCTGTGCGGGCTGTTTCTTGAGCATTTAACACTGAAAGACTTCGTGTGGGAGGCCCCTGGGACAAATAAGGCGGCGATCAAAGCTATGTCGGCCCCGTTGTGGATGGGGCTCTTGTCCGCCTACACGCTCGTCATCTTCTTGTCCCTGCTCACGGCAGGCGTGGTCTCGAAGATCGTCCCCTCACTTGTTACACCATTATTTCATTCTTTTTTTGAGAGAGCGGCACCTGAAGATTTCTTCCGTCCTCAGCCGTTGCGGGGCGAGCAGCAGGCATCTTTCACGCCCAGTCCCTCTGTGAAGACTGTCGGGGCCCTGACGACGCCTCGCTCGGCGAATGGTGATGGGAAAATGCTGGCGCAATGATGTTTGATTTTTGTTTACGAGTGTGATCATGGCCTAATGACGAGAGGTTGGAGATAGCGCTCTTGGGAGGTAACGATTCTTTACGGTGCCGGCACAAAGCTTGGCTTGATATGACGGGACAGGAGGATGGGGCGATAAAAATGCTTGTCAGACATGTCCCTTGGCATATGGAGGCAAAAAGGAAGTAGGGGGCCTCGTAAGGTTTGGTGGCCGGGTGCAGTAGTAGTGTAAGCGGTCGGACCGACATACACTGTCTCCTGGCAGGTTGATGGACTGAGAGATGTATGGGAGACGCTTGCAAATTTAGCATGGCAGCGTGAAAAGGAAAAAGAGACTCATGTGCAGGGCATGTAAATAAAAAATGAGGGCACCGCGCAATCGGGAAGTGGACGACATACAATCGTTGGCGAGAAGCAAGGCGAGCAAGAAGACGGACGTCCCAGGTCCAGGCAAGCCATGAGGATCAGTGGAATGTGACAAGTCAAACCCACAGTCCTTTCCAGATTAGACTCACGGGGCTATTGATTAAATTTATAAACATTTGGGATTGCTTTGCACGTGGGCCGGCCCCGTGAAACATGCTGCACTATGAAACTGTTGCGGGTGTGGTCGCGTCTGTACTGTTGTTGCTTGCCCCCTCGCTCTTGAGCGACACAGACAGCTCCTGGAAGATGGGCCTTTCTTCGTATTGCCGCCGCCGCTTCCGATCCTGCTCCTCCTCCTCGAGCAGGGCGCCCCTCTCCATCTTGCGCTTCTTCACGCCCTGGAGGTAGTCGAAGAAGAGGCGGCCGGCCTCCGAGTCGTCCCCGCACCAGCGTGTCAGGACCTTGAGGCTCGCCATGACCAGCAACTGCCCCGCCTTGAAGGCGCTCTCTCGCTCTACCTCCCTCGTGTCCCCCTCCCCCTCTGTCGGAGCCTGCCCGTCCCCCGAGCCCTCACCGTCCGAGCCGCTCTCCTTGCCCGACTGAGACCGCATCTCGGCCTGCAAACCAGCACAAACCCCGTCCACGGCCGCCTGCTGGTAAGGCGCCCCTTCAGATACCCACAAAAGCAATCGTCGCGTCTCCGCCAGACCCATCTTGGCCACATCCGGGTCTGCTGCCGCCTCGCAGCTTGCCTTTCGCCAGCTCTGAGGCCGGCCTCCGCCGTGCGACCTGCCTCCCGCCCCCGCCGAATGCTCCAAACTGCCTTCCATGCTATCGCTGCTGCCCGCGGGCCCCGTGCTCACCACGCAGTGCTTCTCCGCGTCGCGCTTGACAGTGAAGCCCCTTAGGCCGCAGCCCGGGCACGCAAATGCGAAGGTCACGCCGCTGCCGTCCGAGCCTTCCTCTACCAGGACCTCTAAATGCGCAGCTATCAAGCATGCAGCCACCACGGCCTCAAAATCAAAGAGGCGATCCCGAGCGTCTCGGTAGGCGGCGAAGAGCTCGGCAGCCTTCTTTCGGACAAGCCCGTGCAAAGCCAAGTTGGCACCTTGCTCACGCATGATCCGGAAGGCCTTGGATTTCTGATCGTCCTTGTACTCCACACGTGTAGCCATCGTCCCCCCCACCGCCGCCCCGTCCCGCCCGATGTTGCTGACACTGAAATCGGTCTCCCGACCTGTGTTGCGTTTCTGACCGCGCAGACCCGTAAATTGCGTGCCCAGGTTGTATGACGCCGAGTAAAGAGGGTTCAAAGCAGGACCGTGATGCGAGCGATCCTCCTCTCCCGCGAAATTCCGGTACATCTCGCCCTCATGGATCACGTAGTCTGACTGACAGTCCCCGCACCGCATGCAAGCGACGGCCCCCCCTCGGCTTGGAATGAAATCATTCGGGTCATCATTGTCGCAGTTTGTATTCGTGCACTTTTGCTTCACCGCGCGCAGTGCTGGAACACCGTCTATCATATCCTTTTTGTTGCGCCGAATTTCATCGTATATTTCATGAATCCGCCCAACCACCGCGGGAAGCTCTCTGTCAGGAGCAACCGCCGCAACTATTTGCCGCTCCAGGCAAGCAGGCTCAAACGAGGCGGATCCACCGAGCTCGCAAAGCTGCCTGTACCGAGTAGATTTAATAACTCGTTTTTCTTGTTGCGTCCAAGCTGACTGCTCAAGTCCTGCCGTCACGGGCCTCCGAAGACCGTCCTGGGCGTCGGGTCCGCCGCCTGCCTCAGTGACGGGCGCCCGCCCGCTGCCATTTGCGCCGTTAGTCTCCATTGATGGCTGCCCAGTATCTTCCATACTGACTGCTACGCATGCAGAGTACGGATGAGTTCTTTCAGATTGAGATTTTGTCAACTCGAGCGTTCAGCTTCACCGATGTAGAAGGTGTGCTCCGATATGAGAGGTCGCACCGCCGTCTCGGCATTTCACTCAACCTCACGAATCACAAAGTACCCACACAGCCGCCTATTCATCCACCCGTCTGTATCCATTCAAGGGGAATGGAAGAGTAAGGACGCTACTCTAACGATGCTTTGCCTGTCTTTGGCCAGGGCCGGAAATGCTCGACGATCACCGCCATCGCCGATCAGGCAGGGGGCTTGCGAGTAGTAAATTACTGCTGCTCCTGCCCTGCGTGCCGGCACGTGCAGAGCAAAGCATCAGGAGAGGCTCAGACACATCTTACGCACATGCACAGGCAGAGCTTTCTGTAAAGTGCTGGTCCCAGGTTTCCCTTCCACAACCTTATGCTGTCTTCGTCAGGCTTTGGGGCCGGTCTCATTTCCGGCCATTATATGGCAGGTTATCACTCGACGGTGATCCAATTTACGAAATGAAAGAAGTCCTGACCATTCAAGTGGGCTCTTATGCCAACTGGGTGGGGGCACATTTTTGGAACTTACAATTGACAGATTCTGGTTTGAAAGAAGCACCTGATACCCCTGTCGTCAGCTTCGATAACCACACTTGCCCCTTTGCCCATCGGCGCAGTAAAGTCTATACCGAGGCAGGCCGCCCGCGACTACTTCTCTTTGATGTCCGCGAGGAGATTAATTATTTTTGTTCGCGACAATACGAGAGTCATGACCAGCAGGAGTCATACTCCGCGCGATTGGGAAAGGAAAAGGCGGCCTTGCTGTGGGACGGGGCAACCCAAGTCCATGAAATGGGCCGCGCCTCAGTAGCGAGAGACCGACCACCCCGTGCAGTCCATGGAATTGGCTCGCTCGGACAGTCTCCTCCGATCCCGGCGTCCTGGTCTCAGGCCTGGCGGGGTGAGACCCTGGACCCAGAGCGACACTGCGTGGAGGCGGGGAAGGCGCACGACATGGCCCTGGGCGCAGGGGCTTGGGGTCCTGACCGAGGAGCAGACCAGCTGCATCGGCTACTGGAGGAATGCGATGCAGTGCAAGGCTTGCACCTGCTGCTGGACCTCGCGGGGCCGGCGTCGAGTTTGGGGGTGAGCGCCGCACAGGAGTTCGCGGAGGAAGTGCGCGGCGGGGTGGTGGCTTGCTACGCCTTCGCGGCCCCCGACTCCCCGCCTTCCCGCGGACAGGACGATTGGGGGAAGGCAGATGCCGCCCTGGGCGTCAAGGCTCTGTTGGAGGCAGGGTGCCTCCTCATCCCCTCTTCCAGGGACCCGGGCCTTCCTGAGGGACTGGCGGGGTCCTCGGAGGCTTACCGCACCAGCGCCGTTCAGGCGACAGCCCTGGAGGCCGTCTCGGGCGTCTACCGGGAGGATGAGCGCGTGCACATGAGGGAGTGGGCGCAGGGCATCAGGGTGGGGGCCTGGGACCTGGCGGCGGTGGAGATCGGCCGCGGGGACGAGGCGCCCGACGCCTGGTGGAAGGCGCGACCCGGGCCGGAAGGAAGGGACAAGAGCCAGGACACCGCCACGCCCTCTGCCAAATTCCTCTCCTCCCTAGTCTCCTTGGCGCCACGCTCCCACGTCCGCAGCTCCGCTTTCGTCGCGGATCCGGTCCGTAGGCGCCGGCTGTCGGGGCTGGCCAGCGCCTACGGCTTTCGATCGCCCCCGTGGGCAGTGCTCACCTCCCTGGAAGAGGCGCTCAAGGACTGCCACTGGCTCCAGCCGCACCTGAACTTCGTCTCACCGGACCCCCTCCCCCTCCCCCCGCCTCTCCCGGGCCTGGGACAAGCTGAGGACGCCACGGGCCTAGAGAAGGGCAGCGCCGTCTCTCTCATCGGCTGCACCTCCGCGGTGGGCCCCTTCGTCGAAGACATCACCGAGAGCTTCGCGGGCAGAGGCCCCGGGCTCCGGCGGCGGCTGCGGGAGGAGAGAGGCCTGCTGGAGGAGGACCTGGGAGAGGTGGACGCGCTGTTGGCGGACGTGCTGGAGACCGGGGTGCCTCGCGAGGCGGGATGAGGGGGAAAAGGGGTCCTTAGGGAGGAGAGGGGGGAGGTGTAAGGGAAGCATGTCAAAGAAGGAGAGAAGACTCTAAAGACAGAATCCGGAGGCCAGTGACCCTCTGTTTTTTCTTTACGGCCACGGTCTCTGCCATGCCAGGAACAGCTCTCCCCCACCCCACAAAAATTACTGGCTTCGGCTTCCTGGAGGAGGGGGGGGAGGGGGGGGCGGA